GGTAATTGATTAATTTAATTTAATTTAATTCCGTAGCTTGTCACAAATACGGTTTAGTATATATAATTGATGTATGCGTGTGAATAATTAATTAATGAATGAATGGATGAATGAAATAGGCGACACTGGGGAAAGGCAGCTCGAAAGATAACAGTTATGTAGAGTGCTATGTGGACGGCTCGAATATTCCAATCTTTATTTGTTCATTGATCCCAAATAAGACAGAAAATCAAATTGATTTTTTGGGGTTATATGACAAACACCCCTCAATGAATTTTGACTTCTTGATAAATCCATGTTTTTTAATTGATTTTTTTTAGAAGTCCAATTGACTGGAATTATCCAAAATGCCCCTATTTAATATTATTGAAAATTACCATATTTTATTATTTTGAAAAATCCATTATATTTTTGGTAGATATGCAAATCCCCCTATCTTCTCCCCACACCATCCCCAATTATCTCCCATCGGCATTTGTAATTTAGTTTTATCAATTTATTTAAATGGTTTTTTATATCAATTTAAAACAAAAATTGTTTTTTTTTTTCACTTTTTTAAATGGTTCATATTTAAAAAAAAATGAAATTTACTACATACTCATCGAAAACCACTAAATTTGCCGAAAACCACTATAAAATTAAAGTAAACATTACTATAAAATAAGCATAATTCACATTAATATTAACGTAATCGCACTCTGTAATTAATAAAAATCGCTCTGTAATTAATGAAAATCACTAGATAATTAACAAATTTCATTACTAAAATTCACTAAAAACTTATCAATCAACAAAAACTAATTAAAATCACTATGTAATTAACGAAAACCACTCTGCAATTAACGAAAACCACTGTATAATTAACGAATTTCATTACGAAAATTCACTCTGTAATCAATGAAAATCATTCTATAATTATTGAAATCACTAGGTGCATGTAATTAATTCCACTATGTATAACCAAACATGTTCATACATCTACGATTCTCTCGAGATAACTCCTATTGAGATGTTTTCGAAATCACTATGAAAACCACTCTGTATATTTTCGAAAACCACTATGAAATTATCGAAAAACACTATAAAATTACCGTAAAATTCACTATGACATTAAAGTAATGCACATTAATATTGATGTAATCCATTACAAACTTATCGAAATCTACGTAATTCACAACGAATTAAAGTAATCGACTAAAAACACAACAAAAAGTTAACAAAAAAAAAAAAAAAAAAAAATAACGAAATCCCTATTCCCGAACCCTAAATTGTCATCCTTCTCCCATGGCCACCGACACCTCCCCAAAATTCCTGAAAACAAAAGCTCATCCCATCTCCCATGGCCACCAACACCATCCCAACATTCCAGAAAACAAAAGTTCATACATATAATAATAATAAAAAATATTTGGTTTGAGAGTTATCTCCTATAATTGTGATGTTTTTCCCCAAAGATCCAATTGAAATTCGTACGAACTTTCAACCACTCAAGAAGGTAAAGCCTCTTCTGCCCCTTTTTCATCTGTTTTGGTTAAAGTTTAAAGATTAAAGCTTTTTCTGATGTTTTTTGTTGTTCATCATGAGGCAAAAAGATCCTTTTGTTTTTGTTAATAAACTAATTCCTTAATTTAATTAATTTGCTGGTATGGTTATTCATTATTATCTGTTCTTCTTCGATTTGGGATGTGTTGTTACGATATAATAGGAAAAGATATAACAATTTTTTTTTTATTTTTTTTTAATTTTCAATCATAAAACATACGTTACTTTTAAGTTAGGGGTATAATAGTGATAATTTATTATTTTTTATTATTTAATGCTGAAATAGATTTATCTCAAAAAGTTCTAAAAAAATTAGACCTATTGTAATTAGACTTGTGTAATGGGGGCTTTTGACAAATAATCCCTAAATTTTGACGTACAAAATTTAAATTTTATATTACAACTGATCAGTGTTGCATTTTTTAACCGATCAATATTACACTTACATATATGGCATGACTTTTTGGGGATGCAATAACAAGAAAACAATTATAGTACTAGCAATTGTATTTATATGTAATTTTCCTACTTTACCTCTAAAACTAACGGACCACCGACTTAAAAATGGATGGAGGGTGTGTATGCCAAAAGGTTAAACGTTTGGGACGTAATTGCTAAAAGTCCAGAGTTCAGGGAGGTGGATGCAAATTATCCCTAAAATTAAAAAAAAAAAAAAAAAAATCACTGTTTTCTTTTCTTTTGATGATGAAAGAACATTTTATTCTCGTGCAAAAGCTCGCAACTAGGGGTGGGTCTTTTTTTTTACCATATTGCCTACCGAACCCTACCGACTCTCTATCGAATAATTATCGTACTATACTGAAATATTTTGGTAGGGCAACGGTACCAAATATTATTAAATTGGTACTACCCTCTCACCTAAATAGTATTAATAAATAAAATAATTATTTTCATAATTAATCTATTTTATATAAAAAGTAAAGATAATATGCTAAGTAACTATTAATATTTAAATTTAGTTGTATTTTTTAGGCACGTGAAAGATGTTACGAATGCTTTCATAATGATGATGATATAATTTACATTAACAAATTTTATGTTACAATTTTATGTAAGAAATATTTCATATGAGATAGGTTAAGAATATATATTTAGAATACTTATATCTTAAATACTAGTTTAGAGATTTTTTAAATAAGTATATGCCATGAATTGTTATGCAAAATGATATTCAATTTTGGCACAAATAGTAGATAACATAAGTTGGTAATTTCCATAACCGTACCGTACCAATTGTTTGTTAAACCGAATTTCGGTAATGCCGAAATTTTTGGTAAGGGAATGGTAATAAAATTCATAATACCACAAATTCGATATTAATAGTAAGTCAAGGGGTTTGGTATGGTTGCCCCACCAAACCTACCCCTACTCACAACCCACATGATAGATGTACAGTAAGCTAACCATATGCAGCGAGCTCGACCTAAAGACCGTTGGCGAGAAGATTCGAACTTAGGTCAATTGACACAAACACTCTTACCCCTCCGCGTAGGCAACCCCTTTAAGGGCAAGAAAAAAAAAAAACCAAGGTTAACATAAGTGAAGACATGATCCAACCAAAAACTGAGCGGACTTCTATGTAAAATAGAGTTGGATAGTAAAGTAGTTTCTACTCATTTGATGTACGTTAAACGTAAATTTGAGCTACGAGCATTGGAAAGAACAACGACTAGAAAGATAAAGAAGCGCTCGTCAACTAAGCCAAAAATGACTGCTCGGCAAAAATTCTCCCCCGTGAGGAGAGCGGAATTACGGGCAAGCCATTCTTGGCTAGTAAACGAGGGCTCTTTCTTTCTTTCTTCTTCTTGTTCTTGCCATAATCTATGTATACCATGTATATGATGTATATGTTAATGGATTTTCCTTTGATTGTATGATCTCTATTTATAGCCAGGATTTGTTGAGATTCTCATTTTCTTTTTTACTATTGACCAATTACACAAATTGCCTTATCCATATATTGCATACTTTGTTTTTATTTATTTTTTTCGTTACTTGGGCTAAAGATGTGCAGATTTTGCTTGGAATATATATATTCTTTAAAGTTGTAGTCAGAATATATTGGGAGGGAATGTCAACCTTCAAAATGAAAGGGCGTTCTGCAATAATTATATATATATATATATATATATATATATATATATATATATATATATATAATAAAGAGTAGTTTTGTAGAATATGTTAAGGGTGGTGATAAATGCAGGAGAAATTTTAGTAGATGTAGGATATTTTATTTTAAAAATTCAAAAGTTAATAAATATATCCCATCTTATTTTGTCAAATACATTTTTTTATTAGAAGTTTTTCAACAATATTATTTTGGGAGAATATCACACCAAGAATTTCACTAAAATTAGACGCTATTTTTAAAAATTCAAAACCTAATATATCTTATCTTATCTTTTTCAAAAAAAAAATTTTATGTCTGAATAGACATTATTTTTTGAGAATATCATACTATTAATCATCATTAATCACCAAGAACATGGATTTATCGATTTTGGAGGATGATATATGGTTGAAAGTGAGCTAAAAATTTAGTTATACTTCTTCCGTTCCACAATAGCTGACAATTTTGATAAAAATAAGTTGTTCCATATTATCTGTTATTTTATAATTCCAATGCTGCATTTATACATATTTTCAGTTATGTCCTTATCTACTCTAGCTACAATTATTAAATAAGGGTATTTTGGTCTAACAAAATCAAGAAATATTTATTGAGATTCTTAAAACCTCTGTCAAAGTAATAAAACGACACCTGTCCGGAAACGGATCGAGTACTTCAAAACGCACAAACGTGGTGATCCACCCACAGCTTACCTCTTACAGGAATGAGAATTCAAGCCCTTTATTTCAGTTTTGATAAAATCATGTAATAAAAATAAAACATTGCATGTGGATATAAAAAACATCAATAACTGATTTTAGGTTGAATTTTAGGTCAAGATGGTCCAGATCTTGATTACATTAAAATACATATCGATTTTTAAAATTAAAAAAAAAAAAAAAGAAAAAAAAAAGGTTGAAATCAGTGGTTTCTGAGTGACTATAAATAAGTTCGTCTACTTGATAACAGAATGCGCAAAAAATCAAAAGGCATTTTAAGCAACACGCGCGTACACACACACACACACAAACGTATGGCTACTGCTGCAGTGACTGATGATTTCCGCCTGCCTAGTGTTAATTATACCGCAAGCATTTGGGACGATACCTTCACTTCATTTTCGTTGGACGATCGGGTAGGGGTTTTTTTTTTTTTTCATGCAAATATGTAGGTTTTTTGCAAATATGTAGGGATTTTTTCTTTTTCTTTTTTTTTTTCTTTTTTTTGGGGCAAATATGTGGGGTTTTGTGTAGTGATATATAATCAAATATAATTTTTGGGATGAAATCAAAGGTACAAGAGAAATATGTGGAAGCCATTGAAGCATTGAAAGAAAGAAGTGGTGAGCATGCTCATTCAAGAAGGAAAAACAGCTACTATTCATGAGAAACTAGTGTTGATCGACACACTCGAGCGTTTGGGAGTGTCTTATCACTTCCATCGAGAAATCGAAAACCTACTCCATCAAATCCAAGACTACTAGTACTATAATCATGATTTGTTCACCACAGCACTCGGATTTCGTCTGCTCAGGCAACACCGACAACTTGCCAGTTCTAGTAAGTTCTTGATCTTTTTTCTTTCGTTTTTTTTTTCTTTTTTCACTTGGACTTATAAATTGCAACTAAACCCAATGGGAATAGAACCCGTGACCTAACACTACCCACCCCCACCTGATACGGCTTGGGCAATGCTCTTATGGCTATGTCGTACGAACAGAGAAATGCGGAAATAGACACGGAGAAATCCCATGTAGACATTGTAATTTTGAGATAAATTACAAATTAAAAACCAAAATAAATCGGTTATTAATTAGGTTTAAAATTAAAGTTCATAACGTATTTGGGTTTTAAAATGTCTGGCCCACACTGCAAGTCAAGAAACCCTAACTTGTAGCAAGAAACCCTAGCTCGTGCCTAGGGGTGGGAACGAGCCGAGCTCGGCTCTTTTGGCCAGCTCGAGCTCGAGCTTGAGTCTATGTTGCCGAGCTCGAGCTCGAGCTCGAGCTCATCAAGCCATTTTTTTTTGGCTCGAGCTCGGGCTCATCTATTTTTTTTTTAGTTTTTTTATTAAAATCATTTAATTTTTTATTAAAAATTATTTATAGAAAAATAAAAATAAATTATAAAATAAATAATGAACTCTAGTTATATATATTTTTTAATTTTTCTATTATTATTATAATATTTTATATTATTATGAATTATTTAAGTAATATAGATTTGTTTCTATATAAATACTAGAAATATTTATATTATAGACTATTTACTATTTAGTTATATATATATATATATATATATATATATATATATATATATATATATATATATATATATATATAAACTAAAAAAAATAAAAAAAGGCAGCTCGCGAGCTGTCAAACAACTAAATTTGGGCTCGAGCTCGAGCTCGAAAATCGGAGCTCGAGTTCGAGCATTTGTCGAGCCGGCTCGTCGAGTTCGCGAGCCGGCTCGGCTCGTTTACCACCCCTACTCGTGCCTATGAAAAGAGACCTTCGGTGCATTTAAAAAGGAGACTCACATGGACACATATCAAACTCTCAAGCTCACGCCCCGAGCCTCCACCGTGAATTCATTACATATTTGAATTCGAGGTATTTATATTTATTCAATTCAAGAAAAAACCTCGAAGTCATTGAATCGATTTTAGAATAGGAGAGAAAAATTAGGGGAATTCCCGGAGATTGTAATCCACAATTTGTTTTGATCAACACCCCATATCTCAAAAAATGGAAACGGAAACGTGGGAAAAACGTTTATTATATGCAATTATTACTAGAAACGTCTCCTAAAGTTTAAAGTATTTAGAAAAAGGCCCCGAAACGTTTCCGGCAGGTATAATGGAGTTTCTGTTTCCGAAACATATCGAAAACGTGGAAGCACGTACAGAAGTTTCCATTCATCCGTAGTTCTAGATCTTCACTTATAAAGTTTGTGTCAAATGTATATATTAGATATACAATCATCGATCAATATTGAAAGTATATATTGCAGGTGTTTTCGACAAGTTTAAGGGCGAAGACAACAAATTCAAAGAGACCCTAAAAAGTGATGCTAAGGGATTGTTGAGCTTGTACGAAGCTGCACACTTGAGAATTCGTGGCGAAGAAATCCTGGAAGAGGCTGCGGCCTTCGCAACATATCATCTCAATCTTATGTTAGATGATGATGATCAACAATTATTATTAGAGTTTCCATTACTTGAGGAACAAGTGAAGCGGGCCCTACAGAACCCACTTCATAGAGGCGTTCCAAGAATAGAAACCCGTCGTTTTATTTCATTTTACGAAAAAGATGAATCGAGGAGTGAACTACTTCTCCGACTAGCCAAACTGGATTTCAATTATTTGCAGAATATCTACAAGAAAGAGCTCTCCCAACTCTCCAGGTAATTAGTAAATTAATATTTCGCTCAATTAATAGATTTTTTGGCTAGTCTGATCAACTGTATTAATTTATAGAGGTTTAACTGTATATACATACGACATCAATTACATACAATACTGACGTTATATTTATTAAATGCACAGTACAGTACTACAACGCAAAATTAATTAGTGTTTAATATTTATATTGTCCTGGTCGATAAATTAGGTGGTGGAACGAATTGAACCTGATGCCAAAACTGCCGTACGCGAGAAGTAGAGTGGTGGAATCCTACATTTGGGCGACGGCTTTTTGTTTCGAGCCTCAGTACTCCGATGCTCGATTAGCAGCTACTAAAACCTTGCAAATGCTTACACTTATCGATGATACATACGACAATTATTCCACGCTTGAAGAAGCCGACCTTTTCACCCACATTATCCAAAGGTATGCCGAATGGCGCGGCCTTTATTAAAATTTTGTTTTAGGAGATCAAAAACAACTAATTAAGTAATAGCTACTATAATTATGTCAATTTTGACATTACATTAATACAGGTGGAATATTGATGAAATTGACGACTACGATCAAATCCCGGATCATATGAAAATCATTTGCGAGTTTACTTTTAGCATGTACGAAGAGTACGAACGTGAAGCAGCCAAACAAGGAAAATCTTTTGCAGCTCCTTATGCCAAAGAAAGTGTACGTAATAACAACTACTTGGGCCTCGTTTGTTGCCAAGATAAGATTAATCAAAATAAGATTAAATAATCTAATGAAAATCTAATTATTTTATTGGATCTCGGGACGTCCAACAAAAAAAACCCTCTAAAAGGTAAGATAAGGCATGATAAACCATGATAACATAATATTTACGGGTCGACCCGGTAAGTTATATATTGCGGATACCAAACATCGAATAAAGTCCAATTATTTAGTTAATAATGGCTAATCTACCCAACCAAATGAGGCCTTATATTATTATAGATATATTGGGCAAATTACAGCCACCCCTGAGGTAAGGTCAAATTACGAAAAACCCCTTCTTATTTGCATAATTACAACCACCCTTCAACTATGTATTGTGTTACGAAAATACCCTTCGAGTTGGTAATTATATATATATACATGTATTGTGGTTGATGAAATATAATATTTTGATGAAAAAATATATATGCGAAATAGGTGAAACACTTATGTAGGGCTTACAATAAAGGGCTAAGGTGGTGCATGGGAGGAGAAAATAGTAATATGCCAAGATTTGAAGATTACAGTGTGAATACAGTAATCACAAGCTGCCTGTATGTTTTCTGCTCATGGATGATGCCGGGTATGAGACACGTGTCGTCAAAAGAAACCGTTGATTGGCTGATGAGCGACCCTAAGATTATTGCAGCTTCTGCTAAGGTGTGCCGCTTTTTGGACGACTTGGGCAGCTATCAAGTAAGCACTAATTTATTAATTCACAAATATTATTTACATGTTTTGAAATATCAAGTAACCTCTAGACACGCGTTTTTTTTTTTTTTTTTTTAATTTAAGTTTATTTTTCAGTATATTCGCAAACGTCCACGATTTTTAGAAATAAACACTTGATATCATCTTAACTAACGATTACTAGCTTCTATTTTTAATAAGATTTTGCAAACAACACCTTAAGTTGCAGTAGAGATAGATCAATGCGACATTGCAACTTTCAAGAATTTTTTTTAGATATTTGGTTCTAAATTTTTTGAATATTACTTTTGGTCCCCCAAAGTTTTTGTACATATTTGTCCTGACCCATTATTTTTTTAGTTTTTTCTCCGAAATCTTATATAAATTATAGATAAATATATCATATTTAAAATAAAATATAAAATATGATGGGTAAAACTTGTATTATTTTAAATAAAATTTATGAATTTTACTTATTTTTGAATTTTTTTTATCAACGCCTTAAAAAAAGATGAGATCGTGCCATGAATCTCCGAAATATTAAGTGCAAAATATTATTAGAATAATTTGAATTAATTAAGAATTTTTTTTGATGATTAAAATATGATATATATATATATATATATATATATATATATATATATATATATATATATATATATAATATATGATATTTTAATTAAAAATTAGTTATATAAACTTATTTTTTGCAATGTTTTGTGCACCTAAATATATAACTCATAATTTACTTTGACACGCTTCTGCAGACGCCATCATAACCTTAGATGGTGTTTGCAAAAGTTTTTAGAAATAGATAATGAGTTTTTTTTCTGCACATAATTACGTGTTTGCCAAAAATAAGCACTTTATGTACCTGTTTTTTCTATTTTGGTTGATTTTGCAGCGAATTTGCAAACACCTACAACTTTTAAACATAAACATTTCATCTCAACTTAAATCGCAACTACCAACTTGTGCTTTTAAACCAATTTGTGTTAATTTAACTCATTTTTTATGTAATTTCAAGAGCTACAATAGTTTTATGTTAAACATTTCAAAATATATAATTATAATTAAAATATAAAAATATTGACTTATTTTGTGCTATTTTTTACAAATAGCTCAAAAAATAAAATAAAAAAGATCAAGGTTATTGCTCTTAAACAGTATTGTAAATTTTTAGCCCACCCTCATATTGAATCCGAGCACCGTCGCAGATGGTTGCATTTAATTAGTTTATATAATTTTTGCATGTTATATATGAAGCGCGAACGCAAGGAGGGACGAATGCTGACAGGGGTAGATTTTTACATGAAAGAGCACGGTATCTCGGTAGAAGAGACCGCGGATAAGTTTGTGGAACTAGCCGACGAGGCATGGAAGGATTTGAACGAAGAATGGATCGTAAATAGTGGTAAAACAGGCCGGGGTTATTATCGAAATATACCAAAGGATATGGTGGAGATGGTTCTCAACTACGCTCGCGTAGCGGAGCTCAACTACAGGAGTCTCCAAGATGGCTTTACAAAACCTGAAATCTTGGCACCCCACATTGCTACATTGTTTGTTGATCCAATTATCATGTGATTGTTGATTTTTTAGTATAATTTCCTACTTAATACGTGTTATTAGTACTTATCTTTCATGGATTTGGTAACTCCTTTTTTTTTTTAATATGTATTCAAAATACTTTAGTTATATATATGCTGCATATATGTTCGATTTTTCGCAGGCGATTCACATTTAAAGCCTTGCACTTGAAATATTTAAAGTCATCAACTAAAAGTTTAAGCTGATAGTGAAATGCATAATTTAGTATTATTATCTCCAATACAAAGATTAAGTAGATTTCTCAGGGCTTTAGTTACTTCCTTATTTTTTTGGCTTAGGAGTGAAAATTGGAAGTGGAAACTAATCCTTAAATTTTGTTCCGGAAAATAATGTAAAAATCTCAAAAATTGAAAAAAAAATGTTCGATGATTCGAAACTTTTCGGATTGGAATTGGCTTGATTCGTAAGTTCCAATTATCAGTCACTTATAGTGCAAAGTCCATAATAATATTGATATTTCGGAAACTAGCCGGCATTATGAATTGTTTTGCAGTGGCTTATCAGTTATCACTTTGATCAAGAAATCGAAAACCTACTCCAACTTCGACCTTTCCCACCACCAACCCACCCAATTAGTTTCCGGTTGTCGCCTCCTCTACTCATGCCGCCGCAAATATATATTGGCTCGCTTGCGGGGTGCCTTTTATGTGCGCGCGCGCGATTCCGCTTGCTATGGCCGCCGTGTGCCCGGCCTCATCGCCTTCTTGTATATAAAATGTTGAATGCCTTAAGAGTAAATTTGGATGTTCATCTGATTAGCTATTAGGTTAACCAATTACAAGACTTTATGCAAACAATAACTTTAAATCAAATATAATCTTTTTTGGGAATCCCTTACATTTTGAAATAGAGAAAACAGATTGTGCCACAAGTTTAATGTAAAAAAAAATTGAGCAACGAACATTGGACAGAACAACGACTAGCATGATAAAGAAGCGCCCGTCAACTAAGCCAAAAATGACTGCTCGTTAAACTCCGCAAAAATTAGGAGAGCGGAATTACGGGCAGGTCATTCTTGGCTAGTAAACGAGGGCTCTCTCTTTCTTCTTCTTCGATCTCGCCATAATCTATGTACCATGCATGTAAATAATGTATATGTTAATTAATATTGGGTTTTCCTTTGATTGTATATATGATCTCTATTTATATATAGCCAGCCAGGATTTGCTTGAGATTCTCATTTTCTTTTCTATCCATATATATATATATATATATATATATATATATATATATATATATATATATATATATATATATATATATATATATATATATATATATATATATATATTTTAGAGTAAAGGTCTTGAAAAATCGGTTTTTTGCCTGTGAGACGGTTTGAGGCGGTCCGAGGCGGTCTGAAGCGGTCCCAGGCGGTCTGAGGCGGTCCGAGGCGGTCAAACCTTTAAGGCGGGTCAAAATTCGGTGGCAAAAATCGGTCAAAAATCGATTTTTTTTTTTTTTTTTTTTATTTTATTTTTCATAAATCAAAATAAAAGTTGGGATTTTAATAAAAAAAAATGAGTTTATGATTTATTTTGTTTATGTTAATTATTATTGTTAAAGAACTAATGATGTATGCCAAGAATGTATGTAAATTCAAAAAAATTGCATTTTTATTTATATTTTATAAGGATATTTATGTATTATGATCTTATTATTATTAAATTTTTATTATGTTATTAGAATATATACATGATCGAGATATAACTATGTTTAAATATTTTTTATCTATGTTTTGAGTATTTATAAATAATATCTACAAATATATTATATTAAATTTTAAAAACCGATTTATTTCCGATTTATCACCGATTAATCACCGCCGCACCGATTAATCGTGAGTCGGTGCCTGACCGACTCGGACCCGATTACCGATTTTTACAACCTTGATATATATATATATATATGTTGAATTTGAATGCCTATCAAAGTCCACTCATCTGTTGAGACAGACTACATGTTACGACATTAGGTGACGTAACAGAATTGTTGTGTTGTCACAGTAATAAATCTACGAAAAGCAGAATAAAGAACACAACAATTTAATGTGGTTCGGATACAAACGTACCCTACATCCACGAGGACTTGCAAAACTAGTTCAGATTTATGTGTACATTAATAGGACTTAATAAAACACTAAAGACTCCCTCTTTATGTGATACGCCGTTCTTGCACACGACTCAAACTTGTTGATAATCAAAGCAATTCCTCCTCCGCACTCTTGGACTTCCTCCAATGTTGAACTTCCTTCAAACGGCGGATCGACCTCTCCCGAGATCTTTTAAGCACTTCTCCCGAAACGCTGATCTTCTTTATGGCCTGGTAGAAGAAACCTGTTATGTTGCCACACCTGCCGTGCAGACAGGGCTGCAGCACGGGCTGCACCCTTCAAAGCCTTTATGCTGGGATTTTTCTTATTAAAGCTCCATGGGACTCATATGAGGTTGAGGGGCTTATATAGGCACGAAATCCACCACCCTAAACCTAACTTGGGCCCTAAGAAATCGATTAACTAGGTAATAGAATCCTAGTCGATTTCTACTTCTATTCTAGATAAGTACAAAAGATACCTAACTAGAATATAATACATGGAAATAAATCTAAGTCCTAATAACAATATTACAAAAATAGGACTCTAATTAATTCCAAAATAAACATGGAAAACAAATCTTTGCCAATCTTTAATTTCCACGTATGGCGGATTTCTTCAATCTTCACAAATAGAAATCTCGTGCCAACAATCTCCCCCTTTGGCATAGATTGGTTAGAATCCATGTTTAACAAGAACTCCCCCTGCAGATGAGATTTACTCCCCCTGCAACACAGATGCCACTTTTCTTCACCCGTCTGGTCTTCTATCAGAGTGTCCCATCACGGGGCACGTTACAACGCAGCGGAATTGGGTGAATGCCGTGACAGACTTCCGTCTCAACCTTCCTTGTGAACACACGTCATCCAATAAGCAAAGCAAACAAATCAAAACCCAAAATCAGACACTAAGTATATCTAGTGACCCGCTCTGATACCAATTGTTGAATTTGAATGCCTATCAAAGTCCACTCATCTGTTGAGACAGACTACATGTTACGACATTAGGTGACGTAACAGAATTGTTGTGTTGTCACAGTAATAAATCTACGAAAAGCAGAATAAAGAACACAACAATTTAATGTGGTTCGGATACAAACGTACCCTACATCCACGAGGACTTGCAAAACTAGTTCAGATTTATGTGTACATTAATAGGACTTAATAAAACACTAAAGACTCCCTCTTTATGTGATACGCCGTTCTTGCACACGACTCAAACTTGTTGATAATCAAAGCAATTCCTCCTCCGCACTCTTGGACTTCCTCCAATGTTGAACTTCCTTCAAACGGCGGATCGACCTCTCCCGAGATCTTTTAAGCACTTCTCCCGAAACGCCGATCTTCTTTATGGCCTGGTAGAAGAAACCTGTTATGTTGCCACACCTGCCGTGCAGACAGGGCTGCAGCACGGGCTGCACCCTTCAAAGCCTTTATGCTGGGATTTTTCTTATTAAAGCTCCATGGGACTCATATGAGGTTGAGGGGCTTATATAGGCACGAAATCCACCACCCTAAACCTAACTTGGGCCCTAAGAAATCGATTAACTAGGTAATAGAATCCTAGTCGATTTCTACTTCTATTCTAGATAAGTACAAAAGATACCTAACTAGAATTACAACTCACATGGAAATAATCTAAGTCCTAATTACAATTTCACCAAATAAGACTCTAATGATTCCAATATAAACTGATTCAGCTAGTCTCGAAAAAACCCCCATTTCCTTCTT